TACAATGGCAAACTTTGCACGTACCCTGGCGAGTCTCCCTAGACCGTTTCAAATGTGCATTGAATGGGTCTACAGAGCTGAAACGAATGATTGAATCTCATAAGTCTAAACGTGTCTGATCTAACAGTGTCCACCTGCATTGCTCAAGGAAAGGTTTTACATGTGGCTAAACTAATAGTGTAGGCGTCGGCTCACCATTGGTGGGATATATTCGCAGGAATATCATCTACGGCGCAAAATATATGCAGTATCTCTTTTGCTTGTTTAGTGAAAAGAAGAATAACTAGTTTGATCTATGTATCTCTGTATTAACTTTGTGTATTTTGGGAACTTGTTTTTATATTAGGAGGGTTAAAAAAAAAGAATTAATCAGGAAATTTATAATACAGCTTGGTACATGGTTTGGTAGGGAAAAAACTATAATCACACTCGAACCTGAACATCTACCAGATGTTTTGATTTACAATGATGGTGTCAGTGGGAATGTAATAAATCAAACGTTCCAGGGGTTTGAAACTCATCTGGATTTTCTTAACTTTTTGAGTGAGTTTATTCAGGATGAAGTTATGAGGTTATTCCCAGAACAATTTCAATTTCAGGGGAGTGATTTTCAAAATTAAAGAGTTGTATTATGTTTTACATGCCATAAAGGCAAAGGGTGGAATTATATAAAAATATATTTTACAAGGTTTTAAGTTGCCTTTATGCCTATTCAAACATATATTTTGTGTGTGTTATTTATAATCATTTAGACCAGGGGTGCCCAACCTTTTTTGAACCAAGAGCTACTTTTGAAGTCGGCAATTTGCCGAGAGCTACTCGTCCAGTCTCATCAACAAACATAATTTTTCATCAATCCCTACTCCTCACTTCTTTAAAGTAAATAAAACAGAACGTGATGTGTCTATAGGAGACAACTTTTTATGCAAGCTGTATAAAATAAATGTGTCTCTACCTTAGTGGGACTTCTGACACTGAGAGGAGGAGGCCAGGGTCTCATAAGATGGGCAGTATGAGGTGGTTGCGAGGCGCAGGCAGGTCTCCAGATGATCATCATTCATTGTGGATCTGTTTTTGGACTTGATGATTTTCATGTGTGAAAAAGCAGACTCACACAGGTAGGTAGATCCAAAAAGTGCTGTTAAGTTCAAAGCACATCTTCGGATGTTAGGATACTTTTCTTCTGACAGCAGACTCCAGAACTCTCCATCCACGCCAGGTGATGCTCTGGATTTGATCCCAATGTCATTTTGCAGAGTCAACACCTCATTTTCAACATCAGAGCTGTCCAGCTGAAACACGGACACCAATTTGGACACAATGTCATCCACATCAACATTTCCAAAAGGATAACACATGTAGCTGGTAACAGGCTCGATGGAGGAAAAGTCAGTAAATCGTCTCTCAAATTCTGCTGAGATGCTCTGAACCTGCTTAGAATAGTGTGCACTGTCCAGTTGTGGGACCTCTTTCCCTTGGCGCTGTAGCTCTGCCTCCATGTGTGGGAAGTTTCGCAGGTCCCTGCGTTGCAGCCGACTTGTGAGCAGTTGCAGCCTGCTTTTGAAGGTGCTCACAGAACTGATCATGTGGATTATGTTTTTGTCCTTTCCCTGAAGCTCCAAATTCAGTTCATTGAGCAGGCTGGTGAGATCTGTGAGGAAGGCTAAATCCAAAAGCCACTGGGTGTCCTCTAGTTTTGAATGTTCACCATGATATGACAGCTTCAGAAAATCCCTGATCTCAGGCAACAGCTCACTGAATCTGTCCAGAAATTTACCTCTGCTTAGCCACCTGACGTCCATGTGCAGCAGCAGGTCTGTGTGGTCTGCACCTGCCTCCTCCAAGTGAGCCCGGAACAACCTCCTCTGCAGACTCCTGGCCCTTATAGAACACACAGTTTTCATGGCAACATCCATCACTTCCTTCATGTTTAAAATCTTCCCACACAGGGCCTGTTGGTGGATGATGCAGTGATAGTGCAAAATGTCTGGGAAAGCATCATTCTGCTTGCAGAGTGCAACAAATCCACTGGTGTGACCAGTCATTGCTGGAGCGCCATCAGTTTGTTATAGAAATTAGTTTAAAGAGGGGCAAGTTGCTTTTATTAACAAACTCCATAAACACATTAAAAATATCTTCTCCTCTTGTATGTCCCTTCAAAGGCAAGATGGTGAGCAGCTCCTCTTTTGCACTCATGTCTGCAAAGGCCATTCTGATAAAAACACACAGCTGGGCTACATCCACCATGTCTGTCGACTCATCAAACTGAAGAGAGAAACACTCACATTGTTCCACGTCCTTTTTTAGCTGCTCCTCCACATCCACAGCCATTCCCTCACATCACCATGTCACTGTTTGTCTGGACAACTGCACGTCTTTAATAGCAGCTACGATCTCACTTTTATTTTTAAAATCATGAAAAAGCGCATCTGCAGCCTCAATAAACGCTTCTTTCATAACTTGTCCATCACTGAAAGACTTCTTATGTTGAGCCAGGATGCGGCTAACACGGTAGGAAGCTATCGTAGCAGCTTTACCTTTTGTGCTGGGGCGAGTGAAGACTGATTGCTGGGCTGCAAGCTTGTTTTTTAGCTCCCGCACTTTCTGAGTCCGTAAAGAACTTTTAAGAGGGAAATCTGTCTCAAACCGTTTGTGCATCGTCTTGAAATGCCGCTCCAAGTTACACTTTTTGGGTAAGGCAACGCTCGAATTACAGATGAGGCAAATGGACTTCGAATTAGAATAAACAAAAAAAATACTCCTCCTCCCACTCTGAGTGAAAATAATAAGTTTTCGTTTGCTTGTTAGCTAGTTTTCCATCCATGTTTTCTGCGCACCGACATTACTCCACTACTGAGCCTAAAGTCTCGTGAGAGCGCTGTGTCACCGCACCCAAAACTCGCGAGACTATGTCTGTGAGAATACAAGTCAAGGCTCCAGTCGCCCGCGAGCGACTGATTGGGCACACCTGATTTAGACACTCTTTGATGGTTTGCAGAGGGACGGAGGGGGGCAGTGTATTCTCTTTAGGAATGCTTTATTAAAGCTTAGGAGTGCTTTTGGCAGTAGAGCTTTGGCCCGCCCTGCGGTCACGGCGCTCCGTTACTGGAAGGACATGTTTTCAAGGTCAGGTTATTGCCTTGGTTTTGCACAACATGTTTTTATGAGATACCGACTTTCTGTCTGTCCTCCTGACAACCATCAAACTTGTTTTTCACTGCTCTCACGCGATCCGGTCAGGGAGGGGTATATAAGAAATGTAACGAACACAGGAAAGTTAGAAGTCTGCTACGGACCACGCGCGAGGTGCCCAGCTGTGTTGGTGTGATTCCTGTCACTCGGGTCGAAGGCTTCCCGACCACGTGTCACGGTGAGAGGCTCTCATATCAATTTGTGTGTAGAGAGTGTACAAGTGTACATGTTTGCTTGGCTGTTTTCTGTGGCAGAGTAATAAATGACACTATTATTTCTAGCAGAAACAGTCTCTGTGTTTCATTTCCTCTCGTGTGAATTATTGGGGCCGACCGTTCACGAACCTTTGTTAAAGAAATTTCATAAAACAGGCATGGAGGCTGCACAGCTGCAGAAAGAAAAGCTTTGCAGAGAGTGGTGAAGGCTGCACAGAAGACTGTCGGAGTCAGTCTTCCCACCAACAGACAGCTACACCTCAAGATTCAGGAGGAGGACCACCTGCATCATGAAGGACCCCACTCACCCAGCACACACACTTTTTGTCCGCTCCCCTCAGGAAGGAGGTTGAGGAGCATTAAGTGTAGAAACACTAGACTGAGGAACAGCTTCTACCCTGAGGCTTGTTAGACTCATGAATCTCTAACTAGAATAATCACTGAAAAATCACATCATGTTGCTGCTCTGTTTCATGTTGCTGATCTGTTTCATGTTGCTGCTGATCTGTTTCATGTTGATGTGTTCATGTGTGCTCATCTGCTCACACAGACTCATGCTCATGTTTGTGCTGCTGTTCGATGTAATGTTTTTATGCTACTAGTGCTTAATGTAGTTTTAGATGATGTTTTTCTTAATTCATATCTTAGACGTTATAGTTTTCCTTTTACATTTTATTGTTGGATGTAACTGGGACCCTGTATACATCATTTTGTTCCATCACATGTACCACCTGAGATGCGAACGACATATAAAGACCCTTGAATCCTTGAAATCCCACACAAGACAGGCTCTAGAGCAATGTGGATATCCTAACTGGGCCTTCCTGAAAGCAGAGAAGAAACCCAAACAGGACTCCAGTCAGCCAACAGGTGAAAAGGAGGAACCCAGACCCAGACCAGTGGTCATTCCGTATGTTGAGGGAGTATCAGAGAAACTGAGACGTTTATTTTCTAAACAACGTCCCAGTGGCTTTTAAACCCCAAAATACATTGAGTCATGCTGTTAAACTCTAGAACTCATTACTGGGGACTGCCTAGAAAGGCAGCCACCTATAATCCACCTGAGAAGGGTCTTGCTCTTCTATCAACTTTAACGCAGCCTGAACCTCAATGTGCGCCCCCCCCCCCCCCCTCTCAAAACCACTGGCTCAGCACCATGAGGTGTACTATTATTTTTATTGGCGTTTTGAGTTACCATAGCGATGTAATTTGCAAACAAAGACGCCATTTTTCTCATGTTCAATGTGGCAGTCCCCGTCACAAGTTTCTCCAGGAACCTTCTAGTTTCAGAATGTTTTATTCATCATTACGGAAGGATACCAACAAATCTGAGTAGAAATACAAGAAGAAATACTCCTCATTCTTGTGCCAGTAAAGCTGTAGCCCAAGTACCAACTTTGAATACAAAGGAATAAATAAAAAGCTTTCTGCAGGTGGCACGTTTTATCTCTATGCAAAGTGCAAATGAAGATGGAAAGCCTTTGATGGAACAGAGTCGTTCTTATTACACCAACGTTAGCTTTAGAGGAAGACATTTTTCACCCGGTACAGTAAAGCCACAAGGTCATGTTCTCAACACGTTTGTAAACCTGCTTACATTCAGATCTCGTAATGTGCACACGCTTATTAGTGTTCTCCTTAAAGAAGTACAATAAACACTTTTATTTGATGAAGTCTGAGTCCCACACGTTTTATGAAAAGTCATGTAACAATAGAAAAAAAATGACTAATCAAAAGAAAATAAAGATCAGAATCGTTTCTGTACAGTAGGATTGTACAGTTTATATATTTTGTTCACTGACGATCAACACAATGAAAACCAGAATCCAGAGGGACGTGTTTAAATGTAAAAGTTCAATTTGTCGACAGACGATTAAAAAAACAAAGGAGGCAGCAGATGAGTTGAGATCGGAGGAGGAAACGGCACACACACACACACACAGCTACACACACACTCAGTCCATCTTCTCCTTGTGAACCAGTTTCGGGGCGTCTACAAAGTCTTGGCCGTTGAACAAGATGATCGTGGCTGTGATGGCGCTGGCCGCCCCCCAGAACATGACGTACGCCAGAGTTTCCGTCCAGGTTTCCCCTGAAACATAAAGAGCCGTCAGTAACATGCTCTGCCTTTCAACGCTCACAGAGCATTTATAGAAATGTTATTTACCGGGTAGTTTAGACAGTTTGTGTGCTTGTAGGACAAATGCTAAATAAACAAAACTGTTTTTTCCCTGTGCTTAAGAGACTGTGTCCAGAGCCAGCACAAAGTCAACAAGCAGCAGACGTTCCCCGTGTCTGAGGGGGTTGAACAGTGACAGAGATGAGTGTTTTTCTGGACTGGAACTGAACAGAGAATGAAGTAAACCTTAATGTTTTTGGTGCAACATATTCAAGTGGGCAGGAGTTACACTGTGGAGAAGAACAGAGGGTTTATTTTCTTGTCCGAGGCACAGCAGAGTGATGGATCCTGGAGAATGGAGGGAGACATTTTATCCACCACCAGGTGCAATGGAGGAGCTGGAAGTGGTTGTGGGGGAATGGTGGCCTCGGCCTCCATAGATTAATCTTTGGCCAACGCAGTCATTTGAGGAAACTATACATTTAAGCAATATAAAAACAAGAAAGTGTAGTTTCCTCAAATAGTAGGGGTGACCCGTTTATACATATATTTGGATTGGACTTGTATTTTGAACCCAAGTTTTGATAGAAACCTTTATTTACACCTAGATGATGTCACACATCAAAATGGTAGTTGGTACCTCACTTATCAAGTTATCAAATGCACAACACAAGTTCAGCATACAGCTGTTCTGTGTCAGGAGGGTGATCAGCCACTGGCCAAAAGGATGGACCAGCACAGAAGAGCAGCAGCATCAGGCCAGGACTCTGTGGTCTACACTCATCTAAAGAACAGAGGTCACTCGTTTAGGGATGAAGATGTTCACATCCTGGACAGAGAGGAACGATGGTTTGAGAGGAGTGAAGGAGGACATCTTTGTGAAGAGAAGCCGTCCATCATTAAACAGGAGCAGAGGCCTCTGTGTTCAACTGTCCCCCTCTTACAATGCTGTTATTGTTGGTATCACTCAGCTCTCTGTGAATAGTAAACAGCCATCAGGGCAATAACAATCAGTTAGGCTGATGGTCCTCCTTTTGCACGTGAACAACTTGAGGTTGATTCACTATGAGAAGGTGCTGCTTATAAAACAGAAGGGCCCGTACTCCATCTGATGTGCCAAAATCACCTCCCGTTGTCGTAGTTGCGTGACACAGAGCAGCTTCGTCCACCCCTTCTCAACACGAGGCCCGGACCGAACTTATTCACAGGCGTATGCACCAAATATTGTGTGACTGGTCAGAAGTTTGTGGGCGTGTTTGTCAATGTGGAAATGCACTCAGACATTCAGCTTCATCACTAAACAAACACTAAATTAGTCAAATGGCCTAAAACTCTGGGATGGAGATGGTGCAGACGTCGTGTATGGAGGAGTCTGTCTGCTGAAAAGTGCGGTGCTCTTCATGATTTGTGGCTAAATGGCAGATGCAGGGACGAGTGGAGACTCTGGCTGGAAGAAACCCATGCGGGGACGTATACTGCAGCAGGAGGGGTTTCCAGGAGCTCTGTGTCTGTGTGTAGTAGACTATGAAAGGTGTGTGCAAAAACAGGACTGCACGTCGACTGTTCGGCTTTGGACGGAGTATGTTAGGCCCTTGAGTTTGTTGCAGCTCCTCAGACTGAAGAAGTCTTTTGGATAAAAGACTAAATGTTTCAACAAGAAGACTCCGTCCAGAGGACCCGATTCAAACTTGTTAGATTAGTGCTTTAGCGTTAGCTTAAAAAAAAATTTGTACCCGTTTAGCGAATTAGCGGCTAGCGATGCTACCTTTTTGGTTAGCTGTGCCCACGACTGCATATCACCCGCTGCCATCCATGACAGAGGTTTAAACTAAAATCATGACGTCGTCCACAGCCTCACCACACTCCTCCAGAAATGTTCTAGTTTCATTTATAGCTTGAGAATTTGAATAACAGAGCTCAGGACCACTCTTTCCTTCTGTCCCTGCAGTCATCAGAGGAAAGCAGCGAGCTGCCTCGACAACATGGTTTGATTTTAAGCTTTCTGTTTTTAGAAGCTGTCAAAATGAACTAATCTGAACTAATCTAATCTAAGTCCCTTTGATAAATTACAGGCTAATTTTTAGCTGTCAGCAACAGAATAAGCAACAAGCAGCAAGAAAAAATAGATTTAATGTAGAAACATGACAAAATAAAACCAATCGTGATCCACAGAAGAAGAACTTTGTTTAACTCACCAGCCATAAGAAGGCAGACGATGCACATAGAAAATGCAACCACCATAACTATGGGCAGCTGTAGAAGAAAACGAAGCAGAAAACAGTTATTCATGGTTCGGACTGCTGCCGTTAGTTCCTGCGAGCTGAGTAACACACTTACTGTTAGGAACTTCCAGTCCTTCTGCACACGGAGAGGAGTGGGTCCATCAGACTCATCGACAGCAAAGTTGCCCAGAAACAGGTCAATGGAATCCTGAAAGCAACGTCACCATCAACAATCTCTCTGTGGACTGATGAAGTCCAAGTTAACCGTCACTGACTGATGGGCACCAACAGCAGCTCCTCTGAGCTCATTGCTGTTGACTTACTGCCTTGGTGTTGTGGTAACACGCGCCTGCCTGCTCCAGAGCAGTGAAATGACAAAACTCCTGATTTTAAACAGGAGATCGCGCTCAAAGTCACAGATCTCTAGATTTCGAGGTCGTTTTAACAAACTTTTACTGCATGTTTATTTGTGTGGTGTTTGTGTTTACTGGAAACAATACAAAACAAACAATAGACACTAAGGATGGATCACAGCCGATGCTTTTGGTGAAAATAAAAACACTACGAGCTAAAAAAAAACATAATACAGGACTGGATGTAGTAGATGAACTCAGAGATGGCTTTTCAACTTCATCTATAACTGAGGTTTTTATACACTGATCAAAAAAATAAAGGGAACACCTAAACAAAACTATGTAACTCCAAATCAGTCCCACCTTTGTGGAACCAGTGTCACCAGTTAGGTAGTAACACTTACTGTGAATCAGTTTCAGCTGCTGATGTGCAAATTGAGCACACAACATCTGGAATGAGAGGCAATTATCAAGACAACCCCTATAAAAGAGTGATTCTGCAGGTGGTGACCACAGGTCATTTCTCTGTTCTCGTCATTTCTGGTTGAACTTTTAGTCACTTGTTCATTTTGTCAGTTCTGTCACACATAGAGGCATCATGAGGTGTTTGTTACAGCCCACTGAAGTTGTTCAAGTAGTGAAGCTAATCCAAGATGGAACATCATTGTGAGCGGTGGCAAGAAGATTTACTGTGTCTCTCAGCACAGTGTCCAGAGCATGGAATAAGTACCTGGAGACAGACCAGTACACCAGGAGACATGGAGGGGGCTGCAGGAGGGCTACAACCCAGGAGCAGGACCACTACCTCGTCCTTTGTGTAAGGAGGAGCAGGAGGTCCACTGCCAGGGCCCTGCAAAATGATCTCCAGCAGGTTACTATTACTAATGTGCACGTTTTCACTCAATCTGTCAGAAACAGACTCCATGAGGGTGGTATGACGGCCCAACGTCCACAGGGCCTGTGCTTACAGCCCAACACCGTGCAGGACGATTGATGTTTGCTAGGGAACACCAAAATTGGCAGATTCTCCATGTGCTCTTCATGGATGAAAGCAGGTTCACACTGAGCATGTGACAGATGTGACAGAGTCTGGAGACACCGTGGAGAACGTTATGCTGCCTGCAACATCCTTCAGCATGATTGGTTTGGTGGTGGGTCAGTCATGGTGTGGGGAGTCCTCCATGTGCTAGCCAGAGGTGCCCTGGCTGCCATAAGGTACTGGGATGAGATCTTCAGACCCAGTGTGAGACCATATGCTGGTGCAGTGGTCCCTGGGTTCCTTCTTATGCATGACAATGGCCTCATGTGGCTGAAGTGTGTCAGCAGTTCCTGCATGATGAGGGCATTGATGTTATGGACTGATCTGCCTGTTCCCCAGACCTGAATCCAATTGAGCAGATCATGTTTCAGTCAATCCACCATGGCCACATGGCACCACAGACTGTTCAGGAGCTAACTGATGCTCTAATCCAGGTCTGGGAAGAGATCCCTCAGGAGAACATCCGCCGTCTCATCAGGAGCATGTCCAGACTTTATTGGGAGGTTCTACAGACACGTGGAGGTCACACACACACTACCGAGTCCTAACTGTGCAGAACAAGCAGGTGTGTACACAGACATTTTTAATTTGTCTTTAACACAAGAAAAAGTCTCAAACATCCAAGTCCCTTATTATTCCAGTCTCTAAGAAACCAGATGTAAACACCTTAAGTGACTTTAGCAACTCTCATAGTGATGGTCATGAAGTTCCTGGAAAAGTTGGTACTGAGACACATGAACTCTGTAGTTCTGTTGACCCTCTGCAGTTTCCCTTTCGTAGGAACAGATCAGTGGACGATGCTCTTCCTGGAGTACTGCTCTGAGTTTAACACTGTCTGGCCAGGAAAGATGATTGAAAAGCTGACCAAGCTGGGCCTTCTGTCTGCCACCTGTAACTGGATGCTGGGCTTCCTTATAGATGGTGGTGAGGTTTGGAGGAAAGATGTCCACTGAGATTAAAGTCAGTGCTGAAGCTCTAACCAAAACCCTAAACAATACAACCATCATCAGATTCACTGACGAGACAACCATCTCAGGCCTCATTAAGGGTGGGGATGAGATGGGATACAACAGGGCAGTGGTGAACAACATACTTGTCTAGGGGGAGAAAAATGATCTCATCCTCAGTGCAGACAAGATGAGGGAAATAATAATGGACTTCAGACAGGAAGCCCCGCCCCCTGTGCAGCCCCTCATCATCATGGGGACTGAAGTAGAGATTGTGGACAGCAACAAGCTCATCGGCCTTCACGTAACTTAAAATCTGAGCTGGACTGTCAATACAGCAACCACAGTGAGGAAGGGACATAAACGCCTTCATTAGAATGCTCAGGAAGACCGGGGTCAGCCGCTGTCCGCCCACACCCACAGAGGACAGGTGGAGAGCATGCTCACAACAAATATCACTGTCTGGTATGGCAATACCATCCAGGTAGAGAAAGCTCTCCAGAGAATTATCAAAACTGCAGAAATAACGAGGACTGAACTTCTATCCATTCTATCCAATATACACACAACCCTGTCAGAAGGCAGCCAATGACATCATCATCCAGCTCATTCTCTTTAAGACCCAAACACACAACATACAATCTGAAGAAAAGAATAGCAGACAGTATCGTAAAAACACGGTTTATAACAGCTTTTTCCCCATCAGTGAGACTGATGGTGAAAAATGACATAACCGTTGTGTGCAGTATTTATTTTTATGGTTTTTAAATTGTAATTTTATTGCCAGATTTTACGTATTTAATTTATTTTCTTGCATTGACTGACACAAAGTGCTTTGCACAAAAACATTCCTAGGTGTACAGGTGGTTCTTGAAGCACTGACTCCAGCTGCAGTCCACTCTTTGTGAATCTGCCCCACATTTTGGAATGGGTTTTGTTTCACCATCTTCTCCAGGGTGTGGTTGTCCTTATTGCTTCTACACTTTTTTCTACCACATTGGTTCCTTCCCTTTGTCTCTCTATTAATGTGCTTGGACACAGAGCTCTGTGAACAGCCAGCCTCTTTAGCAATGACCTTTTGTGTCTCTTCCTCCTTGTGCAATGGTCGTCTTTTGGACAACTGTCAAGTCGGCAGTCGTTCCCATGATTATGTAGCTACAGAACTAGACTGAGACCATTTAAAGGCCTTTGAAAGTGTTTTGAGTTAATCAGCTGATTAGAGTGTGGCACCAGGTGTCTTCAATATTGAACCTTTTCACAATATTTTAATTTTCTGAGATAATGAATTTGAGGTTTTCATTAGTTGTCAATTACAATCATGAACATTAAAAGAAATAAACATTTGAAATATATCTGTCTTTGTGTAATGAATGAATATAATATACAAGTTTCACTTTTTGAATGGAATTACTGAAATAAATCAACTTTTTCATAATATTCTAATTTTATGACCAGTACCTGTATGTGCACAGACGTCCAACCAAGTTTCTTGAATTATGAATCGAACTATCAGTTATTGTAGATTTAAACTAATAAGTTGAATCAAGTGCTTTATAAAACCACTGCACTCTTTATTGGAAAAGAACACCACGAGAGACGTACCTGTCTGAAACCATCTGAAAAGTTATTTTTGTAGTAGCGGATCATGGAGTTCCAACCATCCATCAGAAGCCCCCACCTGGTCCTCTTCCCTGTCCTGATGAACACAAGAACTCTGATTCAGCCAGGTCCAGAAAGACAATGTTAGTCTGAGCTGGAGGAGGACGATCTACGGCCGTACCTTGTGAAATCTGTTTTTAGGGCTCCAGTTCCAGCGTATTGCACAGCGCATGCATTGGCATTGTCAGCCCATGCTGGTTAGAGAACACACATACACAGAGTAGTCACTACACTGAGCACTAATCACACAATACGAGCCAACAGGAGAGTGTGCACACAATCGTACCGTTTTTGTAGATCTTCTCAAATTCGGCCTGCTCTTCGATGCGTTGACCCACATTAAGAACCCCCATCCTCTGTGGAAATCAATGAAGAATGGTTGAACCAACATGTAGGAGTTCATATCCTGCATACGGGAATGCAACTGCAAACATCTCAGCAACCCTGTTCAGAAATGATCAGCTTTGATCCCCAACATGTAGCTCTAAAACATGGCTTACTTCAGTCCTTAAAGAGATAGTTTGATCATCTTTGACAACTGCGACATCAGTCAGGAGCACCAAGTCTGGAGAAAAGGGCATAAGTCTTCATCCAGGCTAGGCTAACAGCTAACCAAACTAGAAAGGTCCAGGGGAAACGATGATGGAGACTGCCACATTGAGGCATTTTAAAATTTTGATTTGACAGTGCTGTGTGTTTGGGTTCGCTCTCAGCTACGATCATACCAAATTTCAGCTCAATATCTCAAAGAATGACTGAGTCATAGCCAATTTTGTGTTTGCTGAGGTAGCTGTGGCAGCCATCTTGAACCAAAATGGCTCCGATAGTTAATCGGTTCTAGAGATGCATCTGATGATTACTTTTTGCAAATTTAAAAAGAAAATCCAACAAGCTGTTCATGAGATATGTTGCTAACAGACAGACCATCTACTGTAAGTTTACATGTATTTCTAAATGTGTTTCTGAAGTCAGGTCAGAGGTGCGTGTGTGAGAGAGAGAGCGAGAGAGAGCAGGGCACAGCGACACAGATGCATGAGGAGAAGTGGCTAACGGCAAAATCTTGGTTCAACCAAAGCTGCTGTGTGAATACTGCAAGGTCTTTTGAAAAAAATTCTTGAAGCGTGAGTGAGAGGAGATTGTTCACACTCATGACTTTTCACATTTTTACAGCACTATATGTCAGAGATATGACAAGTTAAAAACTCTTCTCACAACTCAGTCTAAATAAAGAAGTTGCCCATAAATAATGGGGAAACATACGAGTTGCAGTGGTCGCACTCTGCCTTCTGAGGCACCTAACGTAGAAACTGTAGCTCCTACAGCCAAACCAGAAACATTTTGATATATATGTGTGCGCATCTTAAAAGATGTGGTTGTAGGAAGAGTTTGTGAGACGACTTTCTGAGTTTTATTCAGAGACCTCCACACTCTAGGTCATGTGACCTCACTGTGGCAGTTAAGAGGCCGTGAAGAGTTGTGTCCGGCTTATTTCAATGAGAAAAATGGCGTCTTTGTTTGCACATTACGTCGTCATGGTAACTTGAAATGCCAAAAACTAATAGCATGCATCACGGTGCAGAGTCTGTCGTTTTGATATAACATTAGTTGTTTTTGGCTAAAATAATAAATGTTAAAGTGTTATAAATTCATTAATCAACATTTTAAAAGCAAAAGAAAGGTAAAATGTTTAATATGCCTGATATGTTATGCAGTCTAACATTGATTTTGATTAACTTACAAGTTATGCATATTTCAGTTGTCAACGTATTTTGTTGGTTTAACACTAAAAATACTTAACAGTTAACTACTGTTTATTGCATTTCATGGTGGTTCCCCATAAATTAAGCTGATTAAGCTAAAAACTAAAAGGAGAAATATGTGAATGAATTGTATTCTTGAGAAAGGACATGGAATCTCATAACTGAACAGAAACAGAGTGATTTACTTTCTGCACTTTATGCAGATTGGTTTTACAGAGACTCTGGATTCTATGATTGTGATGGCGAGCTGAGCCTGTACGAACTGTGGACAGGTGTAAACGGAGTGGCCAGCCGGGACATCATTTCACAGAAGAACCTTCACAATCCGGAGAATCCATCTTGGGTTACAGAGCAGATTCCATACACAACACTGCCCGGGGTAGCAACGTTGCTAAAGAACTGAAATTATTTTTCTGAGTCGACAGATTTGACGCCAAGCGGGACCGCTTCGTCTAACAGCTCCACACCGGTCGCTGAGTGGACCAGAACCGAGTCAATGATGTCGGACTTTAATCAGTAGCTATTTTACTGCAGGTAAATCAACATTCTTAATAATGTCAGTTTGTGTTTACTTCGGTTACAAAACAACCAACTGAGTTTTTATTTTTCCTGAAAGGAACTGTCCTTCCACCAGGCGGACCGGTTCTGAACGAGGCTCGGCCCAGATGCTGTGCAGGAGGACATCGAAGAGACAGATGTTGATGAACTATTTGTTTAAAATTCCCCTCAGTTGTTTTATTCAATCCATTGAAGTTTTAAGCTGCATTAATCAAAGGAGTGACTTCCTGAACGAGCCAGATGGACAACGTGGGACTTCCAGGATGAAAACAAGAGTCCAGTTCATTAATGCAGTTTACAGTTAATGGTTTTAATAGTGTGTTCAGTTTAATTATCAGTGCTTGTGTGACATACAGTTTGTGGTGTTGAATAAATAAATAAAATTAAACCTGATGTCTTCGTTTTCAACTTTAATAACACGCTATATGTTTAGCATCACTGTAATCACATAATTTGAATTACATAACGTCCAGATAGCTTCATTTAGCTCAGAGCTTCATTATGTATCTCAAACTTAAGATAAATACTGTTTATTATTATTAAACTTATTATTATTTAGCACATTTAGTATGTTATAGTGCAGCACGACGTGTGCGCATGCCACGTTCTATAAACAGCGACATTAGAACTGGATCAGATTGTGTCTCTTCCAACACAGATGTCGGTTACAGCACCTGGAATCTGGCGTAGATTAACTACGAGATTAAAAATATATCAGTTGTAGTTCTGAAAGCAGTGTGTCCGCCGCCATGTTGATAGAAATATAGCGTCTGTTCGCGCGTGCGTGTGCGCATGTGGTTAAACACAAAGCCTCAGCGGGAGATGTTTACATTATCAGCAGGGGGTCAGAGAAAAACCTCCACTCTGGAAGGTGGGTTCAGAAACCTCCGGATCCAAAGAGGGGGGCCACTGGTGTTGTGTAAATAGCTATGTTTACATGCGCAGAATTCTTTGACCGGATTGAAATGTGTTCTGTTTGAATAATTCAAATGTATTGTTTACATGGGCACAATCTGTTCGTGACGAGCGTTTACATGCAGCGGGTTTTGTTCTGAACAGCAGTACTGACATGCGCAGAGTGGTAAACTCTCATTAAAAAAACCACAGAAGAAGAAGTTCTACTTCCGGGGTGAACATAAACAAACCTGAGCACCAAAATGGACCCGCGACAGGTTTTAATGATGGTGGAGACGTTGCTGCACTCCCTGACCGAGCTACAGGTAATACAGATCATTTTGAGCTCTTTCAAAGTTTCTAGTAGAAATGTTGTGTTGCTCACCGACCATTTTAGCTTCCCTGACAGAGGCGGACTGGCCATCGGGCACGACGGGACACTTCCCGGTGGCCTGGTTGCCGAGGAACGGGACTAAAGGCTCGGTTCGGGTCGCACGGACTTTATTATTTTAAATAAACAATTCACTTTTGCCTGGGCTCAGGTCTCACGCTGCACTGCAGCGACGGAGAAAGCCTGGCACATCCCCCGGCCGGGCCGGCCCCCTCCCTTCCTTTTCTGTGTGTCACAGAGCAGAGACACACACACACACACATTGCGCCCGCCCCCCTCCCCGCCCTAGGACTCGCGCT